GGACTACAGCCCACTTCTTCGGATGCATATGCTTATGCTCTAATAAATTTGTTAGTCTCTAAGGTGCCACAAGTACTCCTGTTCTTTTTGCGGATACAGACTAACACGGCTGCTACTCTGAAACTTTACAAACATTATCTTTTAAGCTCCTAACACTATCTCCAGGTTAGAGATGAGAAAGTGAAGCGCAATGAGAGTACATGACTTGCCAAGGGTCACACAGGAAAGCAGTGGTGGAAGCGGGAATAGAGCTCAAGCCTCCCCAAAACCAGTCTGTGCCTAAGCTGCAGGACCATATTTGCTTGTATTACAAAATGGAGGCAGGAAAAAAGCAAGTTTTGGAGCAAACAATAGAAGCAGAGGAGAGAAGACAAAGAAGGGGAGACCAGGCTGGTTAACATGAAAGTTGGTTTTAGTAGTAGAGGCAAAAAAAACAAAACAAAGACAAACAGAAAAGGCAGAGAAGAGTTAAAAAGTGAGGAGCAGAAGTGAGAGAAGGGGGCAGAGGGAAGCATCAGAGGCAAGAAAGGAAAAGACAACAGGAAGACCCAGGAGAGAGGCAAGAAGAAACAATGAGTCATGTCTGAATTGCAGCCTAATCAACCAGACCTCCTATTGGGGGAGCGGGAGAAGGGGGAGGGAGGGGGAAGGGGAGGGGAATGCAGTGACTGTAAAAGACTAAGTATATACCTTTTGTCTGCATGGTGCTTGTGATTCCTCCATTTTGGATAGCAGCACATACCATCTGAGAAGTCACCTAAAATAGCTAACCATCTTTCAAATAGAGCTGAATGAGTTTAAATATAAGATATCCGCTTAAGTACAAATATTTAGACTAATCTACGTAGCTCAGTGAATGAATGACTAGAGGAGAAATGTTGTTTTCATAAGGATTCATATTAAGGCAGAAGCTTCCCTTTACTATGTATGATAGTTTCAACACAGGTTATGAAAATGGTTCCTAGTGTATTCCACAGGATTTCAAGAAAGGGCATAGCTCAGGACCTTTTGATTGCGAGCAGCATGAGAAATTATTGAGGAGGTCTGGGTCATTGCCTCCCAGACACATTTTTTAATATAAAGCTATGTCTGATTATCCTGTTTTTTTTTAAGCATAGTTATTCAATTATTCATTGAAAAGTGAATTTAGGAAAGTGATCTCTAAAAGTTGGAGCCACATAATTCTCAGTGGGAAATTGCAGGAGTTGCATGTTTTCCTTTCTGCTCACTTGTCCTAAATAATTTTCCAAATGTGGACCAAATGTAAAAAAAACAATGGAGTACTGTCTGCCTGAGTCTGCAGACAGTTTCAGTATTACCATTATTATTTAACATTTTATTTTGGTAGCTCCTATGACCATAAGCAGGTTGGTGTCCTATGGTGGTAGGCATGGTACTGTACATAAGAGATAAGTGAGACAAACAGGAAGCTGGGAGGGGGGGGCAACAGGTTTACAAATATAATAGGATGTGCACAGTTCTTAGCTAGTCAGTAGCAGTGCTTGAAACTCACCAATTCCAGTGCCTTGGCTGCTGCTCGGAGGTTTGTGAAGCTGTAGCAGAGTGATTCTGCTATTCAGGTCCCTGTGGGCTTCTGTGAAAGTGACTAGAATCAAGTCATTTTCACTTTGATACTGTTTTGGAAAGCTTTGAGTATCAGCAGTGCCAAATGCTTGGGCTCCTCCCTGGAGTGGAGGACTAATAAACAGAGGATGGGAAAGAGAGAGAGTAGCAAAGATAAAAGCCAGGAAGCTGAGAGTGGGGTAGGGTAGCTGAGCTTATTTACCTCTGGGGAGAGGGGCTATGTTCTCACATTTGCATTACCCCTGGATGGTACACTCTTCCCTCTTCATTTATATAGGATTTGGGGTTAGTCCTCTGGCTACTATGTGTCTGATAAAATTTCCAAGCCTGATATCTGAGGGGATGAAGTGTGAGGAGGGAGTTTCATAGGATAAATAAGAAAGTAAAATTACGTAATAGAGTGGTAATTTGAGGAGCGGGGGTGAAGTAGGAGAAGAAATGAGAAAGACAAAAGATGGGAGAGGAGATAGAGAGCACATTGCTGGGAAGGGTAGAATAGAATAGAGAGAGAGCAAGAGAATTAAAAGGAGAAACTAACACTGAAACAGAAAAAAGATAGTGTGATCTTTTATAGAGAGCAGAATAAAGACAGGAAAGGGAAGACAATATAACAAAAGCAAAAGTTGTACTAAGTTAAATTAAAAAACAACAGTGGATGGTCCATATGGTGCAATTAAATATAGTACACAATGGAATCATTTTACTTCTTTAAATTGCATGGCTTTGGGCAATGTCCTGGTAGCCCAGGTATTTTTCATCCTGGCTAATAACCCCAGACTTTGTCGTCAGAAGAGTGGGTGTTGGGTACATTTTTCAAGTCCTGTATTAATCTGTTCCCAAACTTAAATATAGGGTTTTGGAGGAAGAGGGGACATTCTTGGAGGTTTAAATTCTATAATTTAAGAACCATTTCTATTTTGTTTTTGTTCAAATGTGTTAAATAAATAAATAAATACAAATAAATTATTCATCAAAAATGAACAGCTGCTTCCAGGCTGAGACTTGTGTGCCAGTTTTCAATACACTCTCTTTTTTGCAGTTGAGTTATAATCTGCTGAAAATAGGGGTATAAAAATGAAACTGCTGACCCAACTTTAACTATGGTAATGAGAATATGCTGCTATAATAAAAAAAAAGGAGTGGTTTTATTGCACTAGACATTATGGAGTCCAGTAGACGTAGTCTTCATTCCCCAGTACTTTCAATGCAAGGTCCTGGCTTCCTGCTGCTTTTTACTGCGTGGTATATCACTCTTGCTTGCTCATTTCCTTCCCATTCCTTCTAAGTACTTTCAACCTCTTCACCGCCCTTCCCCCTGCCCCAAAGGCCTAAGAAAAATTAACCAGCGCTGCTGCCTTATATTTCATATCAAAATCCTACGGTGCACTTTTTAATAGTGATGAAAGTGCTTCAGCTTCCAGTCTAATTGCTCTTGAGATGACATATAATTTGGTGTCTAATCATTCTCTTTGTCTTCCTTCAAAAGTGCTGAAGAAACGTTAAATTGCTGTACTGCATGATTAAAATGCCTGTTCAAGGTTTATAACAAATGAGTTTCTCCAGTCTGCACCTGCAGCAGCACTTTTTCTCTTTGCCAGACATAAATAGCAGGTGGATTCCCCTCACAGAACATTTTTATAGAGGTCAAATTTTAAATTCTTAGCCTTGTTTCTGCCTCATAAACCCAAGTTTACACAATATTCAGCTCCTCTAAACTTTGTTCTAGGAACTAGCTGCAGGAATATATAGTGGAGAAATGGTTTAGTGCTTTCTACAACTGTTGAAGAGTTAAATAAAGACCTTTGTTTAGCTCAAACTAAGAACCGTACATATCTGAGGAGCAAGACCTCAGCTGAATTAGGGTACGTATAATTGAATTAGTAGATGAAAGCCTGTGCTGTTGCATAGGTGTGGCACTTGGGCCACTCAATCCGCCATCTGTGCAGTTGCCCTCATACAGCCAATTAAATTTTGCATGCTAATTAACTGTAGAGTAAAGGTGATGTTTAATTAAGTTACCACTGAGATCGCAATGGTCTGACTCTTGGCATGGCAGTTGACTTACTGTAGCTGTAACGCTACACAGGTCTAATTTGTAAAGTCAAAATGACTGACAACTTAAAAATTGGATGGCGACAGTCCGCGAATCCCAGTGATGATTCAGAGTGGTAGTAATCTAAACAAAGAGAGCTCTCAGTCATGTTTGTAGCTGGTTCTGTTGGTTCACACTGGCTAAACAGACATTGTAGGCTTCAGAATGACTCACACAGGCCTGGTCTACCCTGTGTGTGTGTGTGGGGGGGGGAATCAATCTAAGTTACGCAACTTCAGCTACGTGAAAAACGTAGCTGAAGTCGATGTATTTAGATCTGCTTACCGCAGTGTCTTCACGATTTATTGCGTCTTACCGCAGTGTCTTCACGATTTATTGCGTCTTCACTAGACATGATAAATAAATAAAGATATACCTAATCTCATAGAGCTGGAAGGGATCCTGAAAGGTCATTGAGTCCAGCCCCTGGCCTTCACTAGCCAATTTTGGACTAGGACCAATTTTGGACTAGCCAATTTTGGACTAGGACCAATTTTGCCCCAGATCCCTAAGTGGTCCCCTCAAGGATTGAACTCTCAACCCTGGGTCTAGCAGGCCAATGCTCAAACCACTGAGCTGTCCCTCCTGGATTGATCCCTGCTGGATCAATCGCTCTGGAGGTAGGTGTAGACATGCCCACCGTGACAATCCTGGACTCTAATTATATAGATTTCTCATACTTCAATTTTAGTCTTTCTCATTTAAAAGGAAAGTTGAATCCATTTTGCTTAGCTCAGCAGTCTGAAGGTTCAAAAGATAAGAGTAATTGGTATGAACGAACTGAGGTGTATTTGAATAAAGTTTCTAATTATAATTGGCACATCATAAAAGGAATGTGGCTGTCACTAGTAGCAGATTCTGAAATTTCATTTACTTGAAGATAAAAGGCAAATGCAAGGTAGTAATTTTATTAATTATCATTGTTTTGTGATTCTGGCAGTATTAGAGCTCAATGTAAAAAAACCCAATTTTACACAATTTTACTTCATTGACTTTAATGGAGTTATTCCTGATTTAAAATAGCGTAAATGAGAGGGGAATCTGGCATTGTAAATCAATTTGCAACTTACTTTGATACTGGTTTAATAGTGAAAATACATGTGAAATTGCTTTTTAAACATTAATGTTCTTCTTGTTTCAATATTAGTGTTCGGACAGTGTTCCTTGGCCTTGCTGCCACCCTTCCCCAGGGATGAATCCCCCCTTTTCCAGGACAGCTACTTCCCCAGATACATGCAGTGTGATCAGATTTCACCCTGTATGCCCACAGGACTGAATCTGGCTCATCGCCACCAAATCAGTTTAGACAGTAGATACCACCAGCAATCAGGTAATAAATGCGAGATGTAATTAATATGTTATGGCAGTTCATGGTGAGAAACTGCAAATCTTGGTCCCCGTGATGAACCTGAGTGAAAGGGTTTGGTGCAGGGGGGCTTCTGCTTCAGTCAGTGGAGGGGAAGGAATCCTATATCCAAAGTGTGGCTAGTATTGCAGCCTTAGGGCTACAGTCACTTCTGCTTGCCCTTCCCCTGGGATAGCTGGATCTATATTACCACAGTCAGCCTGCTTCCAAATACCCACTACAGAGAGTCCCGTTCCCGCATGGAGCATAACTCCACACTGTGCAGAGGTGCAGACCACAGTGTGGGATCTCCACATCCTGCCCTCACAGCCGCCCCCTCAGTCTATGCAGTAGAACCATATCTGCTGAATACCAGATCTGCTGGATTCAGGACCTTATGTACATTTGAAGGTGAGGCAGGATTTGCTCCATCTGAACTTAGATTGTAGGGCTGAATAAAGGAGTGGAGAATTATGGTGTAGCTCTGCTTTAGAGAGCTGCCGGCACCTGATGGAAAACCTTAGAAAAACATTATTTTTTAGAAATTTTATTTTGTTAGTAAGGGAATTTGAATCACATTATTGATACTCCTACTGCTTCTTCCCCACTGGAACGAAGAGTCCTGTTCTGATCTAATTGTGATGTCACAAACAGAGTTTGACTCCAGATGACCGATTTCCAAAGCCCTTTGTGATTTAGTGCCCACTGTACTTATCCATGCTGTTGTTGTGAGGTCAGTTCCTGCCTTCTCTCTGCCAGCTGTGCCAGCCTCGATCACCTGCTTCCCCAAAACATCTTGGGGCGTTCTCCTACATCACTCCCCACATGTGGGGAAAACTCCGAGTCAAAATCCACAAAGCTACCACCTTATCCTGGTCTCAAGTCCCTCCTTAGAACTCAGGTCTTCCGTGATGCATACAGAAAACTGCTATCATATGGTAATAGTTGCTAAGTGATAAGTTATCACTTCTGCTAAACGCCTAGGGATTGTGCAGCCAACTAGTCTGTGTTATTATTTTCGTTACCACCCCGCCCCCCCCCATCCTCCCCTCTGCCCTCCAGGTAATGTCTTTTCAACTGTGAGCTCCTGAGGAGGAGACAGTCATTTACTATGTTTGTTTGGTCAAAGCCTGGCATGGTGGGGACCTGACCTGGTTGAGGCCTTTAGCTATTATCACAATATAAATGGTTAATGTTAATAATAGTTATATTAATATTAATTAATTGTACCAATAGATAACAAGCTGAAGATTAAGCAGCCAAAAGCTACAAACGTGGGAAGACAAATGACAAAAATAGAAAACAGAAGGCAAATAACATCTGAAATAGAATGGGTGTTTTTCAGCACTTTGTGCAGAATCAGTAGGGCTTTAAGGGAGAGCCTAGTTCTGCACATTTCATTCTGCTCACACTGGCCCTAATTCTACTCCAAACTTTACCTACACTGTGAGAGAAATAACTATGGAGCATTGTAAGCTGGGAGGATGACTGAGCAGACACATAGCAACACGCTGTTAAGTCTCTTCCAGGGAAGAGACGCTTTATAAACGTAAATCAAAACAAGGCAACATAAGCAAAAAGAGTAACAAAAACTTCCTGTATCTGCAGATCAATTCAGCCATCAGAGACTGGGGGTGGGGGTGGGCGTTGAATTCCTTTCCATTGCATTCTCCCCCTTTTGTCCTTTCAGCTACTCCTGAATGTAGAAGGAGGAGACAAAGAAAGTTTGGGTTAACCCCTTGTTTACTAGGGTAT